GCAGTAATCTACCCAGGCTTCTATCTTCACACACACGCACACACCCTGTTCAGGTCAATAAGACTAAATAAGGCATTTTAAGGCTGAATATGGCTGAATAAGACATTATAAGGCTGAATATGGCATTATAAGGCTGAATAAGACATTATAAGGCTGAATAAGGCATTATAAAGCTTTATTAAAAAAAGCAGAGAATAGCAACCACTGTGGTGAGACAAGGCAATATATACAGGGCTCAAATCCCCTGAGAAACTTGTCCTACAGTCCAGATACTGGAGAATACATCCAACAACAACAACGCAGTAAAATCACAATCAGAAACACTTCCGACGACAATAATAACAAAAACACATTCCAAAAGCAGATGATATTAATATTTAGGCTTTTATCTATAAAGGCACAGCTGAGGAAGAATGTTTCTAATAAATAATCTACAATAAGAAACCCATTATGGGTCATGTAATACCTCACAGAGAGAGAAGTCATCAGAACACTTATTAAGAACATGTACATGTTCCGCTCATAGAAATATAATCCATAGAACAGGCCTCCCCATTCAAGTTCATTATGGCATAATGGCTGGACTGGCAGCCAATGTGAGTGTACCCATGAGTTTTACCAGTCAAATGACCAGGGTTAGAGGTCCCAGGACCGTTCTAGTCGTTCTATTTCTGTTTCCACTTCTCTGATCCCTCCCAACATGGTTCATGATACTACTACAAACATAGAATTAGAACGGCTGCCAGTCTGCCAATTATGGTATCATTGACATGGACATGATTCTACTTTGAAGAATCTCAAATATAAAATATATTTGATTTGTTTAACACTTTTTTGGTTACTACATGATTCCATATGTGTTATTTAATAGTTTTGATGTCTTCACTATTATTCTACAATGTAGAAAATAGTAAAAATTAAGAAAAACCCTTGAATGAGTAGGTGTGTCCAAACTTTTGACTGGTTCTGTGTATCGTAATGATAACAACATGCGTAGTCTGTCTTCAACACAGTATGATGTGATTTCTGGCTCATATTCATAAAGAATCTCAGAGTAAGATTGCTGATCTAGGATCAGTTTGTCCTTCTAGATCATCAGTCGACCTCTGAGAGCCGCTTCATTAACACAGGCCCTGGTGCTTCATAACTCCCAGCAAAGTGCTTAGTCACCAATAGAACTCAGAGAAGTCATTATAACTGATGTCTGATTAACAGCAGTCTGCTGGAATAACAAGATAATACTGAAAAGTTACAAACAGGAAACAACCAACTGTTAACAATAAGCAATGAACACAGCACTTCACTGGTCTGGTGGAGATGTTGACATCACTTTCTTTTATCCACAATAAACGTTAATATTGGGAAAAATATTGAGAAAAAAACTAGTAAACAATTTGCATATCCTTCGGTCTCCAAGATGCAGAAGGCGGAATGTGGAAACACCAAAGAGGATGTAGAACCAATCTCCTTAGCAACCAATGTTTAAAAAATATTAAAACTTCTACTCACAAAATAGATAGCCTGGTCCCAGATCTGTTTGTCCTACCATGCCAACTGCACTGATGTCATGGTCAAGCCAAACATGACATTGAGTGACAAGGAGTTGATGATAGCACAAAAAGACTGGCACTCAGGCTACAAAGCAGAGTGCAGCAACACAAAAAGACTGGCACTCAGGCTACAAAACAGAGTGCAGCAACACAACAGCACTGTGCCTTAAAACAGTCTCTCAGTTAGACCTGCTACATTGTCCAACACAGAGCCAGCTGCAATCAGGAACTTCACAACAACATTGCTCGTCTCTTCTCCCCACTAGGTCTCTCTGGGATGGACGAGGGGTTAGAGGTCAAGGGTTAGCGGGCGTAAGGATCCAGTGACGGAGAGATCCAGTGTCGTCCCATGAGGAGGCCCTAGGAACCCCAGAACTATCCAACTCACCCCTATGACACCAAGTAGGACATGAGACCTTAAGAAAGCCGTCCTATCGTCAGAAGGCACCGTATCATGACAATATGCTCTCATTCTGAATCCATACAGAGGGAGGATCTTGGCTCTGTTTCTCCTGTTCTCTCCTCTGTCCATCCCCCAATCCGTGTCTCTGGTCTGGTGGGGTCACTACCTCAGTACCAGGTCAGGGCTGAACACCACGGAGTGTCTGGGTATAAGACACAATGGACAGACCTGAACCTGAGAGATGGAGAGAGGGGGGGAGAGATAGAGAGAGAGGGGCAGAGAGGAGTGAGAGAGGGGGGCAGAGAGAGAGAGCAGAGGAGAGAGAGAGGGAAGAGAGAGAGGGGCAAGAGAGAGGGGAGAGAGAGGGGCAGAGAGAGAGAGAGATAGGGAGGGGGGAGGAGAGAGATGAGAAGAGGGAGAGAGAGAGCGGAGTGGGGCCTCTCTCCCTCCTTCTATGGGAGAGCGAGAAGAAGTGAGGAGGGAAATTAATTTGACAATGCGTGGAAACTGCCTACTGCGACTTTTAATACAACAACTTGAAAACACATGCATGTATGCACGCAAACACACACACGTACACAGTCACTTAGACAAAGTAGGGAAGCGACCCACTGTGGCTCTCAAAATACACACACGCAGATGCAAACACACACATCCACAAACCCACACACACACGCTATTTATCAAACTGGCCTTGTTAGAACATAAAAGAGTGTATCAGTGTGTGTATACATCTCTATGTGTGTGTGTGTGTCTATATTACCTGGTAGGGTCTTCGTCCAATGAGAACGCTCCTCTTACGCTGATTATGTTTCTCTTACTATCAAACGTTCCATAACTCAGAGTCACCTGAAACAGCAATACACACACACACACACACACACACACACACACACCTGTCAGAATGTATTCAATAAACAATAACATTCCATTCAGTAGGCTATATCATGTTCCATTGGCTAGTATTTAGCACTGTGTTCCATTGGCTAGTATTTAGCGCTGTGTTCCATTGGCTAGCATTTAGCACTGTGTTCCATTGGCTAGTATTTAGCACTGTGACACAAAGCATAACAGGGTCAATACTATATCATGTTCCATTGGCTAGTATTTAGCACTGTGACACAAAGCTTAACAGGGTCAATACTATATCATGTTCCATTGGCTAGTATTTAGCACTGTGACACAAAGCTTAACAGGGTCAATACTATATCATGTTCCATTGGCTAGTATTTAGCACTGTGACACAAAGCTTAACAGGGTCAATACTATATCATGTTCCATTGGCTAGTATTTAGCACTGTGACACAAAGCTTAACAGGGTCCATACAATCCATAGTCATGTACTATGTTGTAGTGTTGCCATAGCTGCGTGGCTGCGCTCGTAGGTGTTGCATGTGACCTGCTCGTGTGTGTTGTTACTGTGTCCTTGGTGTATTTGCCTGTGACACCAGCTGAAGGTTCTCCAGGTGAGAGTGGAACAGTGGGGAGCGGATAAGCCCCACCCCTAGCAACGCCTCGATGATGTAACCAACCGTACAGTCGTCAGGGAGACGAATACGATCAGCTGTTGTATGAATTACCTCATTGAGAGAGCGGACCGTGAGAGGTTAGGGAGAGATAGAGAGAGTGGGAGGAAAGCCCACCCCTAGAGAGATGATGTACCGAAAGTAAGTGAGAGAGAAGAAGGGAGAAATACCACTGAGAGAGGACCGGAGAGAGAGAGAGGAAGAGAGGAGAGAGAGAGAGAGAGAGAAGGAGAGAGAGCGAGAAGAGAGAGAGAGAGAAGAGAGGAGAGAGAGAGAGAGAGAGAGAGTGAATATGTCATAATGTGTGGAAACTACCTACTGTGACTTCCAAAATAAACACACGTAAACACACTTACGTACGCTAACTCACAGAAAAGCAGGAGAATAACCCACTGTGAGTCTCAAAATACACACACACACACAAACACACTATAGTGTACACAGTCTCACCTGGCCCAGGGGCTCATCTTGAGGGCGAGACCTCGACTAACACAGAACCCTGCCCCTCCTGTGGCAAACCAGAAACGCACTGGACGCTGAAAGCACACAACATGCATATATAGTACACACAATACTACTAACATGTAATAAACAAAATGTATGACATTATATAGGCAGATACATACAAATATAAATGGAAACCCACACATACATTCATATTCAATATTATTCATATATATCTAAATACAATATATAACTTCCCAGTTAGCGCATAACGATCTGAGAACCACCCAACTAGCGCATAACGTTCTGAGAACCACCCAACTAGCACATAATGTTCTGAGAACCACCCAGTTAGCACATAACGTTCTGAGAACCACCCAGTTAGCACATAACGTTCTGAGAACCACCCAACTAGTACATAACGTTCTGAGAACCACCCAACTAGCACATAACATTCTGAGAACCACCCAGTTAGCACATAGCGTTCTGAGAACCACCCAACTAGCACATAACGTTCTGAGAACCACCCAACTAGCACATAACGTTCTGAGAACCACCCAACTAGCACATAACGTTTTGTGAACCACCCAGCTAGCACATAACGTTCTGAGAACCACCCAACTAGCACATAATATTCTGAGAACCATATGTTCCCTTGCAGTCAGTCAACTTCGGTACAACATACTATAGGGAGTCGCACTCTTGTGACTTCGGTTGAAGGATCTAAAATCACGCCTGACAAGGCCAATGAAATCCGCGCCTCAGTGGAAGCCCCGCCTTCCACAGGTGATAAGCGTGAGGCTCGGATTTATTCCTTCAATTATTCCACTCTTCACCTCGGTGTGAACAGGAACAATTCACGCTACTAAAACAAACAACTGTAAGACGACACTGTCTTACGTTGCGCCAACTATATTGTCGCTTTGTGGTAGAGCGTGCTCACACCCTGGATGTTGTCTGCTGGAGTTCGTATGGTTCTCATAGTTTCCTAATCACAAACAATTAGTTTCTCTTCGGATTTCTTGGCCTGGCTATAGCAATGAGTAAGATGGCTAAAAATGCGAGCTAGACGACGAAGGCTAGCCCGGTTGGGGTTCGTGACCACGCCCAAATGAATAAAGAGATACTCACGTTTGTTGACCTGTATGTCTCGGCTCGGTGCATGCTCTGGCATGCCCTTACTCAAATCAGTTCATGTGCAGGACTGGCACCGTTTTCCCTGCTTGTCTACACGCAGGTTCTCTTGACAATCGTGTAGCATTCTATAGGGGGGGTTTGGTGTTTCCGATAGTGACTTCCTCTCCCGGGTGCCCATACCTCAGCTGAGTCTGAGTAGTGGGACGTCGACATAGACTGGGTCTTTGGTCGGAGCCGAATGTGTTGTCTGCCTGGGCGTGGTGTGTGCGGTGGCTGCCCGCACTAAACCCGGCTCCTGTGCGCTCTGTCACCGGTTACGGGAGGCTACTCGAAGAGAGAGGGCAGCCAGGTTCGGTGGATACCCCCCGCCGCCTGTTTCTGTCTCGGTCAAGCACCGCTTGCCTCTCTTACTTGTCGGTGAAGGGGCCGGTCTCACCTCTGTGATCCGGTCCTACATAGACTTTCGAGACCAGGCCAGCTAACAAGCTCTGCATAGCGTGCTAGCTATTCCTGCCTCCCCACGGTGGAGTTGCTTGGGTAGCTCTCCCGTTTAGTATACGTAGCGTTAAGTTGCCTGGTTATTCTAAACGGACCGTGCTGCGGTCAAAGATGCTAGCTAGCCTAGCTTAGACTAAAGAGCCTCCTGGCTAACGTTGGCTAGCATGCATAACTTCCGGTGAATGAAGCTTTCTAGTGCTCCCCGTCGTTATGGCAACCCCATTACTATTTTCAATTCCTGGAGTTGGAGGGAGTGGAGACAGCGCGGCTTGTGTGCTCCTTCGATGAGGAAGCAGCCCCCGAGGAGCTGGCTTGGGTAACCTGGAGAGAGGGGTCTTAGCACGGGTGTGAGCGAGCAGTGCAACGCTCCACAAAAACATTATTGTGACAACAGCGTCCCCACGTTTTGTTACGGCAAACGGTGTACTACGTCAGCCATTGCCCATAAGGGGGCCCGGGATTCATGCAGACTATAGAGTGTCACGGAAGCACAACGTGTGTTGGAAGCTTGTCCATGTTTAATGCCCCTCTGGTACCCCGCGTTCAATGGTGTTCACTGGGTTCAAGGGGTAAATCAATCTCCCTAGGGTGGGAGTAATAAGTTGGGCGATTCGCTCTCTGTCCATAGATGGCTCATTACTGGGATTCATTGCTGATTCCTGCCTGTAGCTCACTCGCGATGCGTCAACAAAACTCTCTTTATATTGTTAAGTGTGTTCAGGTGTATTGGCCGTGCCCACTAATGGGGTTTGTTTGAATAGACTAAAATTCTCAGCTTGTGCTAACTCCATCTTGGTGGCGCAGTGGACTAATTCCATGGATAGAGAACAGAAGATGATAGGTTTGATTCTCACAAAATAATAAAGCAATGGGTTTGCATGATTAATGCCTAAGCAAATTCATTTCCATGTGTCCTATCTATGCTTGGAGTTCAAAACAGTTAACCCAAACTAAGCTAGCAGTGTTATTGAAACATTCATTAAAAGTTTTTAAAAAGTTATTTAAAAACCTCCAAATAACCTTTAAGCATTCACAACATTTAGAGAATGTTCTCATAATGTTTTTGAATTACCTTCAAATAACCTATAATTTCAGTTCTCAGAACGTTAATAAAACCTCCCAGGAAAACTTTCAGGGAACCATAGCAAAACGTTCTGAAAACCTCCCTGCAACCTCAAAATGTACGTTCCCAGAACAGGCTAAATGTTAACTTCCGTTCTCAAAACGTTTAAAAAAGGTTCAGTTTTACCAGTCAGGATACATATGGCTTCATTCCCAGAACCAATGGGAAACCAAATACTTACGTTCCCACAACTTCCAAGGAACCAAATGTGCTTGCTGGGTTATTATATAGTCACAAAAACAAAAGAATGGTTAAAATGAGAAGAAAAACAAGTTTTAGGTTAGTGAACACATTACTTCCTGGTCCCTTACCGTGTGGGAGTTGCCAAACCTCTCGGTGGCTTCTAGTGGTCGGTCGAGGCTAGGCCGGCCAATGTAGACATCGTGGGTGTGGCTGTAGTGAGACAGGAGCTTCACAAGGGGGCGTATGTTCACGTAGTTATCATCATCCACATGGCAGAACCACCTAGAAGGGTTAACAACAATCAGTCAGTCAGTCAATCAATCAAATCAATCAGTCAATCAAAGTTATATTTAATAAAGTGCTTTTTACATCTGCAGTTGTCACAAAGTGCTTTACAGATAACCAGCCTAAAACCCCAAACAGCAAGGCAGAAGCACAACCAAAGGGTTAGCAATAAATCAACCTGACTTTGATTCTTCAGCTATTAACGTGATCAGCTAATTCTGTCATTGTGGTTTGTGTGTGTGTCTTACTTCTTGCCAGAGCTGATGAAGGTGTCGTATTCGACGGCCATTTTACAGGACAGAGCCTGGCGACTGTGGGCCGCTGAACAGTTAGTATTGATCATGTGACTCC